TGAAGTCAGTTGCCTGTCCTTCGTGGGCAAGATTAGGAATTCACCAGTTCCCTAAAAGCCTGGAATCATTTGCTTAACTTTACTGAAGAAAAGAGAAGCTCCTGTTTGATTGTTCATTAATAAAAGACGTTGTTGCACTTCTCAAGCCATCTGAAGACTCTTTGTGGTGGAAACCTTTGAGAACTTCTCCTTAGGCCCCTGGCTTCCCGCTGTGCAAAGGTTACACATCCTGTCTTTAAAGTCAACTAATTACAGGCCCAGTGGCGACAGAACACTGATAGTGCAGCAACCCCTCTGCCTCGCCTTCAAAGATGGCAAATCCCGAGTAACAAAAAAACAAAGGATTTATACTTTTAGGAACCTTCTCTTTTCCAGAATGGATTGGCTTTTAAAAGATTGCATTGGCAAAAGGAGAAAGTGATGAAGCGACTGCCTCATTGCCTCAAAACCCTCACTTGGCTGTATGAGCTTCAAATTTGTTTCATTAGATTACTGCCTTTTGTTTTTTTCACCTTTCTTAAGTGCATGACAACGTCTGTTATAGAACTCCAATATGCTGTTGATAATGTATTCTGTGCTCATTCAGTGGAAGACTACAAGCCACTCTAAACACCTTTGCAGAAGCTGTGCTGGCACAGCTGTGCCAGAAGCTAAATTTTCTTTTTCTATGCATGGTTAGTTTGCACGTGTTTCTGTTAGCCAGGCATTTTGCAGTTAAGCAGCTTTCCCCAGGCTGCAGTCATAGGCTAGCACCTGCCTATCATCGTTGGGACTTTTGGAACCACCCTTTTCCCTAGGTTCAGAAGGGAAAAGGGGACAGTTTGTTCAGTCTTACAGTTTGAAGCCCAACTACAGGACGTGTGAGTTTTTCCCTCCTGTAGAAAAGCTTCATAGAATCATAGAATCAAAGAGTTGGAAGAGACCTCATGGGCCATCCAGTCCAACCCCATTCTGCCAAGAAGCAGGAATATTGCATTCAAATCACCCCTGACAGATGGCCATCCAGCCTCTGTTTAAAAGCTTCCAAAGAAGATGTCTCCACCACACACCAGGGCGGAGAGTTCCACCGCTGAACAGCTCTCACAGTCAGGAAGTTCTTCCTCATGTTCAGATGGAATCTCCTTTCTTGTAGTTTGAAGCCATTGTTTTGCGTCCTAGTCTCCAAGGAAGCAGTAAACAAGCTTGCTCCCTCCTCCCTGTGACTTCCTCTCACATATTTATACATGGCTATCATATCTCCTCTCAGCCTTCTCTTCTTCAGGCTAAGCATGCCCAGCTCCTTAAGCCGCTCCTCATAGGGCTTGTTCTCCAGACCCTTGATCATTTTAGTCGCCCTCCTTCGTTTCTTGCAAGCTTGGCCGGGGAAGACAATTCTCACAGCTTTACTTAGAAATACAGCACAGCCCTTGGTGGGGTTAAAGAAACAGATCCACAGCATTCGTGGAAAAAATCCAAAAGACTCCAGCTGGAAAATCCTCAGAGTTTTAGCCGGTAAGGTCTACTCGGGTATCCATAAAGCAAATTGGAACCGGGAGTAGGGCCCCACGCCAGCTAAGCCTAAAAGACAGATTGCCCAGGGAGCGATCAAAAGGATTTCCCTCTGTTTAAACCACCCTTGGGCTTGTTCTCCAGACCCTTGATCATTTTAGTTGCCCTCCTCCACTGGACACATTCCAGCTTGTCTATATCTCTCTTGAATTGTGGTGCCCAGAATTGGACACAATATTCCAGGTGTGGTCTAACCAAAGCAGAATAGAGCATGGGGAGCATGACTTCCCTAGATCTAGACACTATGCTCCTATTGATGCAGGCCAAAATCCATTGGCTTTTTTTGCCGCCACATCACATGTTTAACTTGTTGTCCACAAGGACTCCAAGATCTTTTTCACACGTACTGCTCTCGAGCCAGGCATTGTCCCCCATTCTGTATCTTTGCATTTCGTTTTTTTTCCTGCCTAAGTGGAGTATCTTGCATTTGTCCCTGTTGAACTTCATTTTGTTAGTTTTGGCCCATCATCTCTCTAATCTGTCAAGATTGTTTTGAATTCTGCTCCTGTCCTCTGGAGTATTGGCTCTCCCTCCCAATTTGGTGTCGTCTGCAAACTTGATGATCCTGCCTTCTAACCCTTCATCTAAGTCATTAATAAAGATGTTGAACAGGACCGGGCCCAGGACAGAACCCTGCGGCACATGATGATGATGATGACAAGGTACTGCATGGCAGAGTAAAAAAAAAAAAACCCTCAGACAATGTAGGACTTCATTGTCCTGCTGACATGGACCACCACTTTCTCCAACATGTTTGAAAACTCCCAAATATGGAGATATGATAGCCATGTATAAATATGTGAGAGGAAGCCACAGGGAGGAGGGAGCAAGCTTGTTTTCTGCTTCTCTGGAGACTAGGATGCAATGGAACAATGGCTTCAAACTACAAGAGAGAAGATTCCATCTGAACACGAGGAAGAACTTCCTGACTGTGAGTGCTGTTCAGCAGTGGAATTCTCTGCCCTGGAGTGTGGTGGATGCTCCTTCTTTGGAAGCTTTTAAACAGAGGCTGGATGTCCATCTGTCAGGGGTGATTTGAATGCAATATTCCTGCTTCTTGGCAGAATGAGGTTGGACCAGATGGCCCATGAGGTCTCTTCCAACTCTATGATCCTATGATTCAAGCCTTTAACTAGAGGTCAACTGTGACCAACAGTGCTGTGGATTTTGAAGAGGGATGAATTGAGGGTGGAAAGGTGAAATGCACCAAGCCAACACTGACCAAGACTGCCTTCCACCTGGAAATCAATATCCTCACTGCAAAAGAAAGACCTTTCAGATCAAGAATAGGGCTCTACAGTCACCTACGTCAGGAGATGCTTACTTCTTGGGAGGAGAGCAATGACCAATCGATAAAATAGTGAAGAGTAGAGACATCACACTGGCAACAAAGATTCGCATAGTCAAAGCCATGGTATTCCCCATAGTCACCTATAGATGTGAGAGCTGGACCATAGGGAAGGCTGAGCAAAGGAAGATAGATGCTTTGGAACTGTGATGTTGGAGGAAAGTGCTGAGAATGCCTTGGACAGCGAGAAGATCCAACCAGTCCATACTTCAGGAAATAAAGCCTGACTACTCATTGGAGGGAAGAATAGTAGAGGCCAAGATGAAGTACATCTAATCATCTCTCAACAAAAGTTTGCTCCAGGCACTGTCAGGCCATTATATGCTAATCAAGGTTGTCAGTTGAAACATTCACACCTAGCTCCAGCAGACAAGAGTCCTTTGTCTCACCCTGGTCATTCCACAGATATATAAACCCTTTTTCCTAGTTCCAACAGACCTCACTACCTCTGAGGATGCTTGCCATAGATGCAGGCGAAACGTCAGGAGAGAATGCCTCTAGACCATGGCCATATAGCCCGGAAAAACCTACAACAACCCAGTGTTTCCGGCCATGAAAGCCTTCGACAATACAAGATGAAGTCCTTTGGCCACATCATGAGAAGAAAGGAAAGCTTAGAGAAGACAATGATGCTGGAGAAAATGGAAGGAAGAAGGAAGAGGAGCCAACCAAGGGCAAGATGGATGGATGGTATCCTTGAAGTGACTGGATTGACCTTGAAGGAGCTGGGGGTGGTGATGGGCGAAGGAGCTCTGGCGTGGACTCGTCCATGAAGTCATGAAGAGTTGGAAATGACTGAACGAACGAACAACAATCATCTACAGACTCACCGCTAAGGCCCTATTCTTGGAAGGCAATCTCTCGGCCATGACGGATAGCCGATGATGATGATGATGATGACGACGACGACAAGGTACTGCATGGCAGAGTTAAAAAAAAAAAACCCTCAGACAATGCAGAACTTCAAGAAACTTAATTGTCCTGCTGACATGGACCACCACTTTCTCCAACATTTTCCACACTGTTTGAAACTCCCATCATGTCCTTGTATTTACAGGGGAAAAATATGATTGCATGCAAAGAATTATCTCCATGTTGATCATAGAATCATAGAATCAAAGAGTTGGAAGAGACCTCATGGGCCATCCAGTCCAACCCCCTGCCAAGAAGCAGGAATATTGCATTCAAATCACCCCTGACAGATGGCCATCCAGCCTCTGCTTAAAAGCCTCCAAAGAAGGAGCCTCCACCACACTCCGGGGCAGAGAGTTCCACTGCTGAACGGCTCTCACAGTCAGGAAGTTCTTCCTCATGTTCAGATGGAATCTCCTCTCTTGTAGTTTGAAGCCATTGTTCCGTCCTAGTCTCCAGGGAAGCAGAAAACAAGCTTGCTCCCTCCTCCCTTTGGCTTCCTCTCACATATTTATACATGGCTATCATATCCCCTCTCAGCCTTCTCTTCTTCAGGCTAAACATGCCCAGCTCCTTAAGCCACTCCTCATAGGGCTTGTTCTCCAGACCTTTTTATCATTTTAGTCGCTCTCCTCTGGACACATTCCAGCTTGTCAATATCTCTCTTGAATTGTGGTGCCCAGAATTGGACACAATATTCCAGATGTGGTCTAACCAAAACAGAATAGAGGGGTAGCATTACTTCCCTAGATCTAGACACTATGCTCCTATTGATGCAGGCCAAAATCCCATTGGCTTTTTTTGATCGTAAACGGCAGGTTTTCTCCAAGTCGCTCCATACACGGCTTTGGTGGTTTTGGGCCACATAGGAAAACAAAACGTGCCAGTTGTTGTGTTTCTTGTCATTTCTTTCCTATGTGACTCTGTTTTCAAAAAAACTTTCCCATGTTCTGTGCCTCTGCGATATGCCAACGCAGCAAGTTTGCAATCACTCACAAAAAGTGCAGGGGTGGATGCGCTTCCCTTCTCTTTTTGTGGCCTGGTACTTTGAAATGTTTGATCACCATGATGCCATTTCCTTTATGTACCCAGCGTATGAAACATCAGATGATGAGAATCAGAGAAGAAAGGGAGTGGGTGGGTGGGTGGGTGGAGGCAAGCAAGGATGGGGACCCTTCAGTTGTGCCCTGGATGTGGACAGGCACACAGGGCTACATGCAGAGAGGTCCAACTAGCCACAAAATGGTCCATGAAAAAGAGTGATGGGCTCTCTCGAACTCAGGATTTGATGCCTGATGTGGGGTGTGACTCCTGAACAGTCCCTGGTCTGGAAAGGACCACAGAAAGCCCTTGAAATGGCCATGGAAAGCCAGCATCGGGTGGTGCCGTGGGTTGGCGCTTGGCTTTTGCTGCTCTGTTGCCGGTCTGCCTTGCTGCTCAGCCCCTCCGGTAGGTCTTGGCTTGGGTACATTGGAAGGTTGGGCTTGGGGCAACGGTGGTCCCATTGGGCAGACTTGTGGAATGAGCAAGAAGGAAAGGGTGGAAGGCATGGATTATCAGTGTGTAGGTGCCTTCAAGTTGACCGTTGAGTGATGATATGTTGAGCTCATGCATTTCAGAGGGCTTCATAGGTAAGGATGACTCAGAGATGGTTGGGGTAGTTCAGTGTTTCTCAACCTGGGGGTTGGGACCCTTGGAGGCGTCGCCAGGACGTGTCGGAGGGGTTGTCAAAGACCATCAGAAAACACAGTATTTTCTGTTGGTCATGGAGGTTCTGTGTGGGAAGTTTGGCCCAATTCAATTGTTGGTAAGGTTCAGAATGCTCTTTGATTGTAGGTGACCTATAAATCCCAGCAACTACAAATGTCAAGATCTATTTTCCCCAAACTCCATCAGTGTTCACATTTGGGCATATTGCGAATTTGTGCCAAGTTTGGTCCAGATCCATCATTGTTTGAGTCCACAGTGGTCTCTGGATGTAGGTGAACTACAACTCCAAAACTCAAGGTCAATGCCCACCAAACCCTTCCAGTATTTTCTGTTGGTCATGGGAGTTCTGTGTGTCAAGTTTGACTCAATTCCATTGTTGGAGTTCGGGATGCTCTTTGATTGTAGGTGAACTATAAATCCCAGCAACTACAACTCCCAAATGTCAAGTTCTATTTTCCCCAAACTCCCATCAGTGTTCACATTTGGGCATATTGAGAATTTGTGCCAAGTTTGGTCCAGATCCATCATTGGACAAAATCAAGACCCTCAGGACAAAATCAAGACCCTCCCCCAATCCCACCAGTATTCAAATGTGTGTGTATTGGGTATTTGTGCCAAATTTGGTCCAGTGAATGAAAATAGATCCAGATATTTACATTACTATTCATAACAGCAGCAAAATCACATGTATGAAGTAGCAACGAAACTAATGTTATGGTTGGGTCACCATAACATGAGGAAGCATATTAAGGGGTCGTGGCATTAGGAAGGTTGAGAACCACTGGGCTAGTTCCTTCTGGAATAGAGTCTACAACAGGCATGGGCAACCCTGGGACTTCCAGATTTTTTGGGCTTGAACTCCCTGGAGGGCCCAAGTTTGTCCATGTCTGGTCTACAGCATGGAAGTCCTTTTGGGTTTGGGGAAGGGTCTTCTTCTTTTTGGACTGCTCCCAGAATCCCCCAGCAAGTTATGGGAATGACATTTGGAAAGATGCTTCTCCCATCGCTACAGCCTAATAATAATAATAATAATAATAATAATAATAATAATAATAATCTATATAAATAAAAATGTAATGTTTGTTTGATGGCCTGATAATTTTTAGGTGTGGCTTGTTACTGCCTGGGGGGAAATCCTTTGTTCCTGATTGTTTCTGAACATGAGGAAGAACTTCCTGACTGTGAGAGCCGTTCAGCAGTGGAACTCTCTGCCCCGGAGTGTGGTGGAGGCTCCTTCTTTGGAAGCTTTTAAACAGGGGCTGGATGGCCATCTGTCAGGGGTGATTTTAATGCAATATTCCTGCTTCTTGGCAGAATGGGGTTGGACTGGATGGCCCAGGAGGTCTCTTCCAACTCTTGGATTCTAGGATTCTATGATTCTTGTCTGGAGATTGTGAGGCCATCAAATGCTAATCAAGGTGGCCAATTGCAACATTCACACCTAGCTCCAACAGACAAGAGTTCTTTCTCCCACCCTGGACATTATTCCACAGAGATATATATAAACCCAAATTTCCTTGTTTGCAACAGACCTTACAACCTCTGAGGATGCCTGCTGTAGAAGCAGGTGAAACGTCAGGAGAGAATGCTTCCAGAACATGGCCATACAGTCCAAAAAAACCTACAACAACCCAGTGATTCCGGCCATGAAAGCCTCCGACAATACATTGTTCTTACTTGATTCTGAATGTTGTTCTTTTCTGATTGATTTAAAAGCAGCCATTCTCAGAACAAGACTGCTGGATTACAGTCCATCTAGACTTTAAATCCTATCAGTGCCAATTTAGAAGAGACCATGGATGTGCTAACCCATTGTATTGTTTATTAACCAACTTTCAAGTTGTTTATAATTATGTCCTTCAGTAGAATTGTATGTCGAAGGCTTTCATAACTGGAATCACTAGGTTGTTGTAGGTTTGTTCGGGCTATATGGCCATGTTCTAGAGGCATTCTCTCCTGACGTTTCGCCTGCATCTATGGCAAGCATCCTCAGAGGTAGTGAGGTCACTACCTCTAAGGATGCTTGCCATAGATGCAGGTGAAACATCAGGAGAGAATGCCTCTAGAACATGGCCATATAGCCTGAAAAAACCTACAACACCTTCAGTAGAATTACTGCTGTAGAATTAATACAGTTTGTCACCACTCTAAGTTCCATGACTCAATGCGACGGAATACTGGAAGTTGTAGTTTTCCAAGGTCTTTACCCTTCTCTGCCAAAGAGTGCTGGTGCGTTACCAAACTGCAAATCCTAGGATTCCTTAGCAGTTCAAATGGTGCCAAACTGCATCCATTCTACAGATGCACCAAAAGTTGTGGAGAAATTGCAGAGAAGTGCCATGGCAATTAAAGTAGTATGAAACTGCATTAACTCTACAGTGTAGATGCACCATGAATGGTGTGTCAAACACATTTAATCTTTGTATTGTCGAAGGCTTTCATGGCCGGAATCACTGGGTTGTTGTAGGTTTTTTCGGGCTATATGGCCATGTTCTAGAGGCATTCTCTCCTGACGTTTTGCCTGTATCTATGGCAAGAATCCTCTGAGGATGCTTGCCATAGATGCAGGCGAAACGTCAGGAGAGAATGCCTCTAGAACATGGCCATATAGCCCAAAAAAAAACCTACAACAACCCTGCGAGAAATAAGTTTCGTGCAACTATGGACTGTATGCCTTTTGACAAGCCACATCTTTGACCCCTTCTGCACTGCCATATAAAATCCAGATTATCTGCTTTGAACTGGATAATATGGCAGTGTAGACTCTTATAATCATATAATGTGGTTTATCTGCTTTTGCTAATCTGGATTATCTGGAAGTGTAGAAGGGGCCTATTCTCCAGCATACAGTTTCCCTTCTGTTGTATCTTCACTGTAGAGTTAATGCAGTTTTATACCACTGCAATTACCATGGCTCAATATTAGTTACTTAATTATGGGAGTTGTAATTTGGTGAGCCACCAGCACTCTTTAGCAGGGAAGGCTAACAGCCTTGCAAAATTACAACTCCTATAAGTGTGCTCGTACCTCACCAAACAACAAACCCCCAAGATCCTATAACATTGAGATGCGGCTGTGAAAGTGGTATACAACTGCATTAATTCTACAATGTGGATTCACCTCAAGGTACCAATCTTGAATCTTAAACAGATGCAGTACTTTGGAGAGAGAGATAGGATAATGTTGTGGTTTTGAGTGTTGGATGACAAGCCTGGAAACCCAGGTTCAAGTTCCCACTTGGACATGATGCCAATGGCAAACCTTTGGCAAGCATCCTCACTACCTCTGAGGATGCTTGCCATAGATGCAGGCGAAATGTCAGGAGAAAATGCCTCTAGAACATGGCCATATAGCCCGAAAAAACCTACAACAACCCAATGGTAAACCTCTTCTGAAAAATCGTTGCCAAGAAAAACCTTGAATGTCCCCAACTACACTGTGATGTCTCCACACTCGAGACATAACTTCCTTTTTGTCTCTTTGGGCAGCAACGTTTTGGCCAACCCAATTGAATCAATGGACGGGCACCACGGCTGAATTCACCTGCAATATCTCCAACGCAGCGATTTCAGAGGATTCTGTGATTTGGTACAAATTTGATGCCAGCAAGCAGCCGGTTAAACTGGATCCTAGCAACAAGAACAAGTACAACATCACTCGCCTGGGCCCACAGACGTTTCGTATGAGGATCCTGAACCTAGAAAGAAATGACAGCGGGCTGTACTACTGCACACGTGTCGCTATCCTCACGAGCCACGCCTTAACGGAAAGCAACCATGGCAACCTCACTGTCACAGGTCAGAACAGACACTTCTGGGCACTTTCTCCCCAGTGTGTGGACCTGGATTGGGCCACAGATTAGATTCAGTGGCTGTCCTGTTCAAGAGGCAGGGGATCTTAGAAAGGTTTAGAAAGGAGCTGTTCAAGGTGCTGAAAGTATGACCATAGAGCAGTGGTTCTCAACCTGGGGGTCGCGACACCCAGGGGGGTCGCTGGGCCATTTTCTGGGGATCACAAAGGTGTCCCAGTTGGCCCCGCCCCCTCCACCTCCACCTCCATCACGCTCCCACCGGCAGGCAGGGGCACAGGGCAGGTGAGGGCCCCTTCATGCCATCCGGCAGGGATGTGAACTAGGCAAGAGGCTCCAAGTAAGGCCGTGCCCAGCTCCCACTGCCTGCCAGGTTTGCCAGAGGCACAACCCTCCCTGCCGGATCTGGGCCCAGACTCCAGAATGCACCAAGCAACAGCAACTCCCAAATGTCAAGGTATGTATATACACTGAAGGAAATACTAATACCTACAGAGAACACTTTTCTAGGCATTTGTTGATGCTGCAACATGACTTTATGATCAACTTCTACCAGAGATTGACCATAGACCACACTAAAAATACCTACTGAGAATGTGCCTCTAGGTATTTGTATTTGTCCAACATTTATTTATTTATTTTATTTATTTAGAGGTTTTCTATACCGGCCTTCTCAACCTTGACGAGGGACTCAGGTCAATTTACGGCATATATAAAATACAATCATATAAAAGACAACAAGTACAAATCATTACATATTAAAATAGTACAATACAGTACAGTAAAAACATCATCGTTACAGTTTCCTAAGCCAAATCGTCAATCCAATCCTAGTCATAATTTTGTGGTTAACTTCTGGTGGAAGCCCTTGAATTCCCAATCAGCTCCTTTGTCAGTGAGGTAGCAAATCCAATCTAGGTTTAAGTCTGAATTCGAAAAGTATTATTGCAAGCCAGATTCTCATATAGCTATATCTCTATCTATCTATCTATCTATCTATCTATCTATCTATCTATCTATCTATCTATAATCCCCCAAAATGGAGGTCTGCCGAAGAGTCCCTTTTTGGTGTCTCACCATCAGAAGCATGCCCACATTGCATGTTATTCTTGCAAATTAAATTCTCTAATGCTGTAATTTGCTTATGAGGTGCAACCATTTTATAACACCACACGTGCAGTTTGTTTTGGTACGGTTGTACCAAAAGCTCCAACTTCCTTTTCTTTCTTTGAGTGTTTGCATGTATTCCAAAGTTCCATGCATTTTGCAATAAGGTGGCTCCCCTTGGTTTGCAGTTATAGGGCCAATGACCCATCAATCATTGTTAAGTTTTGGTTCTGCCCCTTTCCCCAGGGCTCTGGGAGGAGAGGGAGCCTTTTTAGGTCAGTCTTGCATTGGAAAGCTTAGCTACAGGATGTGGATTAGCTCCACCTGTAGAGAAGCTTCGTTTTTCACAGCATCCGAGGGGAAACAGTTCCAAAGAACTTCAGCTGGGGAATCTACAAAGCCTTGACTGGTAGGTCTACTTGGAACCCAAGAAGCAGTTTGGAGCCGGGAGTAGAGCCCACACCAGCAAAGTTTAGAAAATAGATTGCCCAAGGAGGGGCTAAAAAGGGGTTTCCTCTTAAAGAAAAGAAACAGTTCACAAAGCCAGTTGCCTGTCCCTTGTGGACAAGATTAAGAAAGCCACCAGTTGATTCAAAGCCTTGAAGCGTTTGTTTAGTTTGTTGAAGATCTAAGAGAAATTTGATTGTTTGTTGAAGACTTAAGCAATGATAAAGGACTTTGTTAAACCTTTCAAACTTCTAAAGACTCTGTGTAGGAAAATCCTTCGGGCCTCTCACTCGAGGTACCCCGGCTTTCCACTGGGCACAAAAAGCACGTCCTGTTCAAAAGCCAACTGTCTTCTGGAAGTAGGATTTTGGTCACTGTTTTCTTCAGTTAATCAACTGGCTTTGCTTTTGAACTGATGTCTAACCTTCAGAACTATTGACCATATTTTCTCCTCGTTGAAATCTGCAGAAATTGTGCCGACGTCTGGATCACCAGAAGATGAGTACAAGAGGGATGATGATGATGATGGAAAAGAGAAAGAAAATGCTGATCACCAAATCTCTTTGACTGCCATTGGAGTATTGGGGCTGGTCTTGGTCTTGGTGCTGGCATCTTTATGTTTCTTCCTTATTAAAGTCATCCGGAGAAGGCAAGGTACGGAATTTCAGAATCCTAGACTTGGAAGAGACCCCAGTCTCTGCAGGGATACTTTTGGCACCTTTGGGCATTTTCTCCCATACTTTGGGGAATCTTTGTTGGAATCATACCTGGCAGCCACTGTTTTCCAGATTGACATCAGAATGTATCGAGTCTCCGTGGCACAATGGGTTAAACCCTTGTACCAGCAGGACTGAAGACCGACAGGTCAGAGGTTCGAATCTGAGGAGAACGCAGATGAGCCTCCTCTGTCAGCTCCAGCTCCCCATCTGGGGACATGAGAGAAGCCTTCCACAAGGATGGTAAAGCATCAAAACATCCGGGTGTCTCCTGGGCAACGTCCTTGCAATTCTCAATATCAGAATGTATGGAAAAGGGATTGGATAGACCAGTGTTTCTCAACCTGGGGGTCAGGTCCCCTGTGGGGTCATGAGGGGGGTGTCAGAGGGTCACCAAAGACCATCAGAAAACACAGCATTTTCTGTTGGTTGTGAGCGATCTGTGTGGGAAGTTTGGCCCAATTCTATCGTTGGTGGGGTTCACAATGCACTTTGATTATAGGTGAACTATAAAAAACAGCAACTACAACTCCCAAATGTCAAGGTCTATTTTCCCCAAATACCACCAGTGTTCATATTTGGGCATATGGAGTATTCATGGCAAGTTTGGTCCAGATCCATCATTGTTTGAGTCCACAGTGCTCTCTGGATGTAGGTGAACTACAACTCCAAAACTCAAGGTCATTGCCCACCAAACCCTTCCAGTATTTTCAATTGGTCATGGGAGTCCTGTGTGCCAAGTTTGGTTCAGTTCCATCATTGGTGAAGTTCAGAATGCTCTTTGATTACAGGTGAACTGTAAATTCCAGCAACTACAACTCCCAAATGACTAAATCAACCCCCCTACACTTTAATGAGTTTGGCACAATGCAATGGGATCCTGGGATTTGGAGTATGGTGAGGCCCCCAGCATTCTGTTACAGAGATGGCTCAAGACCTTCTAAAACTACAACCCCAATGATCCCATATTGCTTTGAGCCATAGCAGTCAAAGTGGTGTGAAACTGCATTCATGCTACAGTATAGATACACCATAGGGTTCAATTCCAAGCTCAGTGATGGGATCTCATGGGGTGAGGGTTGACAAGATACTGTATTTATTTGAATCTAATGCTCAGTTTTTGGGGGCTAAATGACCTTGTCAAAACTAGGGTCCGCATTAGATTTGCATCATATGGTCGTCTTAAGCAGCTGAGGGGGAAAGGAAAGGGCCTGAGGCTGAGGAACTGTGGGAGTTGAAGTCCAAAACACCTGGAGGGAGGGCCCAAGTTTGCCCATGCCTGCTGTAGAATGTATGCACTTTGAAAGAATGTATGCACTTTGCTGACTGAAAGGTTGCAGGTTCAAATCAGGGGAGCGAGGTGAGCTCCCAATGTTAGGCCCAGCTTCTACCAACCTAGCAATTCGAAAACTCCAAAACTCAAGGACAAACTTTGCCAAAACTTTGGCATCACTTTAGCTGCTGTGGCTCAATGCTATTACATTGTGGGAGTTGTAGTTTGGGGAGGCACCCACACTCTTTGATTCCATAGCATTGAGCCATGGCAATTACAGTGGTACCAACCCCCAGTCGTCCACCTTGCAATGCCCTTGTTGCATTAACTACTCTCACCATTCTGCTCACAGGCTTCATTCTTAGACTGTATAGGGGCAATGGCTTAAGTAGATTAGCTCAAGGTTTTCCCCTGACATTAAGTCCAGTTGTGTCTGACCCTGGGACTCTGGTGCTCATCTCCATTTCCAAGCTGAAAAGCCGGCGTTGTCCTTAGACACCTCCAAAGTCATGTGGCCGGCATGACTGCATGGAGTGCCATTACCTTCCCGCCAAAGCGGTACCTATTGATCTACTCACATTTGCATGTTTTCGAATTGCTAGGTTGGCAGAAGCTGGGCCTAACAGTGGGAGCTCACCTCGCTCCCCAGATTTGAACCTGTAACCTTTCAATCAGCAAGTTCAGTAGCTCAGTGGTTTAACCCACTGCGCCACCCGGAGCTCCTAACGGCTTAAATAGTGAGTTAATATTATCTCCTTTGTTGTTTTGCAGAGAGAGGAAAACCCCATGATGAAAACGCTCCGTTGGTAAGTTCCTTTTCACTCAAGATGTGCTGTCAATGGGGAAAATCTTTCACACCGAACTGTCCATCTTTTTCTTAGGTGATATTCTGCAAGCAAAACTTCTAAAAGTTTGGCCAAGCTGGGAATGAATTTCCCTACCTCTAATTACTCATTAGTTTTCGCATCACACAACGACAGCTGAGTTTTCCATTTGCCTGCAACAACGCTGGCTGCAAATTGACTACTATTCAGAGGAATAGAAGTAGCCTTTCTGCCTGTTACTCCTTATTGTATGGGTTCTGCCCAAGGATAAGCAATGGGAAGGAGCAGAGCAAAGTTCCCAAGTGATGGCTTCCTCCTGTTTGGAAATATCATCTGCGTTTTTCAGGCTGGATCCACACTGTGCAATATCCCAGGATCTGATCCCAGATTCTATGATTATCCCAGATTATCTGGCAGCGTAAACTCATATAATCCAGTTCAAAACAGATAATCTGGGCTCAGATCCCCGGTGGCGCAGTGGGTTAAAGCGCTGAGCTGCTGAGCTTGTTGACCGAAAGGTCGCAGGTTCCATTCCGGGGAGCGGCGTGAGCTTCCGCTGTCAGCCCTAGCTTCTGCCAACCTAGCAGTTCGAAAACATGCAATTGTGAGTAGATCAATAGGTAGTGCTCCGGCGGGAAGGTAACGGCACTCCATGCAGTCATGCCGGCCACATGACTTTGGAGGTGTCTATGGACAACGCCGGCTCTTCGGCTTAGAAATGGAGATGAGCACCACACCCAGGGGCGGCTCAGCCCATTACGCAAAGTAAGCATTTGCAGTATAGTTGATTTTGCCGAGGGGCGCTCTTGAGGCACTCTTGGGGGAAAATAGACCTTGACATATGTGAGTTGTAGTTACTGGGATGTATAGTTCACCTACAATCAAAGAGCATTCTGAACTCCACCAATGATGGAATTGAACCAAATATGGCACACAGAACTCCCACGACGAACAGAAAATATATATCAGTGATTGGTTGGGGGGGGGGCACCAAAATACTTACCATTGAAAATTACCTAGGGCCGCCTCTGGGTGTCACCCATCCTATACCTGTGCATTTTATTTGTATTGCCCGAGTGTCATATCATACATTTCTCCCTGTTTGAAGTTCAAGTTAAGAAGCATTTGGTTGATTTGTTGAAGATCTGAGTAGCGTTTGTTTAAATTGTTGAAGATCTAAGCAATAATAAAGGACTTTGTTAAACATTTCAAGCATCTAAAGACTTTTGGGATAGGAAAATCCTTAGGGCCTCTCAGCCAAGGCAACCTGGCTTCCCGCTGGGCACAAAGAGCACGTCCTGTTCAAAAGACAATTATTATAGGCATGACAGCACAATGATGATGATGATGATGATGATGGCTTGTAGATCTCTTTCCCATGTACTGTTTCCAAGCCAGGTGTCACCCATCCTATATCTGTGCATTTTATTTGTATTGCCCGAGTGTCATATGTTGTGTTGGTCATGGGGGTTCTGAGTGGGAAGTTTGGGCCAATTCTGAAACTCAAGGTCGATGCCCACCAAATCCCTCCAGTATTTCTTGTTGGTCATGGGAGTTCTGTGTACCCAGTTTTACGAGGGACATGACCTTCTCAGTGGTGGTCCCTCGGCTGTGGAACGCCCTTCCCACAGACATTAGATCGGCTCCCTCATTGATGGCATTTCAGAAGAAAGTGAAAACCTGGTTATTTGAAGAGGCGTTTGAATAGGCAGTGCAATGAATTATAATGAATTATAGGAAATCGGAACTACTGGTGACGAGCTTGGATTATGATTTTAGTTATAAGACGCTAATGAGTTGTTTATTGATGTTTATTGATGTTAATTGCTTAGTGTATTATTGTTTTTAAATGGTTTGTATGATGTTAGCATTGAATTGTTGCTGCTGTTTGTTGTTAACCGCTCTGAGTCGCCTAAAGGCTGAGAAGAGCGGTACACAAATAAAGTAAATAAATAAATAAATTCTATCATTGATGGGGTTCAGAATGCTCTTTGATGGTAGGTGAACTATAAATCCCAGCAACTACAACTCCCAAATGTCAATATCTATTTTTCCCAAACTCCACCAGTGTTCACATTTGGGCATATTGAGTATCTGTGCCAAGATTGGTCAAGATCCATCACTGTTTGAGTCCACAGTGCTCTCTGGATGTAGGTGAACTACAACTCCCAAACTCAAGGTCGGTGCCCACCAAACCCTTCCAGTATTTTCTGTTGCTCGTGGGACTTCTGTGTGCCAATTTTGGTTAAATTCCATCGTTGGTGGAGTTCAGAATGCTCTTTGATTTTAGGTGAACTATAAATCCCAGCAGCTACAACTCCCAATGTCAAGATCTATTTTCCCCAAACACCACATTTGGGCATATTGAGTATTTGTGCCAAATTAGGTCCAGATCCATCATTGTTTGAGTCCACAGTGCTCTCTGGATCTAGGTGAACTACAACTCCCAAACTGAAGGTCAGTGCCCACCAAACCCTTCCAGTATTTTCTGTTGGTCGTGGGAGTCCTGTGTGCCAAGTTTGGTTCAATTCCATCATTGGTGGAGTTCAGAATGCTCTTTGATTGTAGGTGAACTATAAATCCCAGCAACTACAACTCCCAAATGACAAAATCAATCCCCACCAACCCCACCGGTATTCAAATTTGGGCATATCGGGTATTTTGGGATATCAGATATTTACATTACGATTCATAACAGTAGCAAAATTAGAGTTATGAAGTAGTAACGAAAATAATGTTATGGTTTGGGGTCACCACAACATGAGGAACTGTACTAAGGGGTCGCGGCATTAGGAAGGTTGAGAACCACTGATTTAAAGTCTGAATAAATAAGTCAATGGCATCTTCCCTTTCTTGGCTTCATCGTAGGAAGCAGAGCCTCCTGCTGTGGCTGTCTTCACCGTGGATTATGGGGTGCTGGAATTCCAGCCTGGGAAGAATTTTCCTCCTCCGTCTCCGAAGCCGCAACCTTTGGACCAAACGGAATACGCCACCATCATCTTTCCGACGGAGAAGCCGGAACCCATGAAAAACACCAAGAGGACTAAAAAGCAAGTGAGATGGGTTCCCACCAGCAGGCAACAGTTGCATTGAGGGCAAGGGATGAAGATGGGCTCCTCTTCCTCACCAAATTTGGCTCCCGTGGCCTTCTGAGATTCTGGGTCGGAAATCTGGAAACGCTGACATGACGATTGGTGATTCATCTGCGAAACCAGACACAGGCTGGGTCACGATGGCAGCCTAGAAACCACATCCTCGCCACGGAGATGTGGACTGGGGTGAGAAAAAGATTGCCTATGCTGAGAACAGGGAAATAATGGAGACTGAGGATGTATTGTCGAAGGCTTTCATGGCCGGAATCACTCAGTTCTTGTGGGTTTTTTCGGGCTATATGGCCATGTTCTAGAGGCATTTCTCCTGACGTTTCGCCTGCATCTATGGCAAGCATCCTCAGAGGTGAGGTCTGCTGGAACTGGAAAAAGGGGTTTATATATCTGTGGAATGACCAGGGTGAGACAAAGGGCTTTTGTAAGTTGGGCTAGGTGTGAATCTTTCAACTGACCACCTTGATTAGCATACAATGGGCTGACTGTGCCTGGAGCAAACTCTTCTTGAAAGGTGATTAGATGTCCCTGCCTGTTTTTCTCTCTGCTGTTTTTGCTGTTGCAATTTTAGAATTTTTTAATACTGGTAGCCAGATTTTGTTCATTTCATGGTTTCCTCCTTTCTGTTGAAATTGTCCACATGCTCCTTGTGGATTTCAATGGCTTCTCTGTGTAGCCTGACATGGTGGTTGTGAGAGTGGTCCAGCATTTTTGTGTTCTCAAATAAAATGCTGTGTCCAGGTTGGTTCATCAGGTGCTCTGCTATGGCTGATTTCTCTGGTTGGAGTAGTCTGCAGTGCCTTTCATGTTCCTGGATTCTTGTTTGGGCAATGCTGCGTTTGGTGGTCCCTATGTAGACTTGTCCACAGCTGCATGGTATACGCAATAATACGTTCAGCAAAGGACGAGAGGGATCCTCTCACCTCTGCAGGAGTCTACCGTATACCATGCAGCTGTGGACAAGTCTACATAGGGACCACCAAACGCAGCGCCCAAACACGAATCAAGGGACATGAAAGGCACTGCAGACTACTCCAACCAGAGAAATCAGCCATAGCAGAGCACCTGATGGACCAACCTGGACACAGCATATTATTTGAGAACACAGAAATGCTGGACCACTCTCACAACCACCATGTCAGACTACACAGAGAAGCCATTGAAATCCACAAAGCATGTGGACAATTTCAACAGAAAGGAGGAAACCATGAAAATTAACAAAATCTGGCTACCAGTATTAAAAAATTCTAAAATTGCAACAGCAAAACAGCAGAGAGAAAAACTGGCAGGGGCACCTAATCACCCTTCAAGAAGAGTTTGCTCCAGGCACAGTCAGCCCATTGTATGCTAATCAAGGTGGTCAGTTGGAAGATTCACACCCAGCCCAACTTACAAAAGCCCTTTGTCTCACCCTGGTCATTCCACAGATATATAAATCCCCTTTTTCCCCGCTCCAGCAGACCTCACCTCTGAGGATGCTTGCCATAGATGCAGGCGAAACGTCAGGAGAAATGCCTCTAGAACATGGCCATATAGCCCGAAAAAACCCACAAGAACTGAGGAAGACTGAGGATGTTTTTCTACCCTGGCATGTTTTGACATATTGAGACATCCCGTGGAAGAAGACTGCAACCACCATGAGATTTTTTTGTACTTGCATGAGAGTAATGCCAAATAAAAACTCTACCACAATCGTATTGTCGAAGGCTTTCATGGCTGGAATCACTAGGTTCTTGTGGGTTTTTTCGGGCTATAGGGCCATGTTCTAGAGCAGTGATTCTCAACCTTCCTAATGCCGTGACCCCTTAATTCAGTTCCTCAGGTTGTGGTGACCCCCCCAAACATAACATTATTTTTGTTGTCATTTCACAACTGTGATTTTGCTACTGTCATGAATCGTAATGTAAATATCTGATATGCAGGTTCTATTTTCATTCACAGGACCAAATTTGGCACAAATACTCAATATGCCCAAATTTGAATACTGGTGGAGTTGGGGAAGGGATTTATTTTTGTCATTTGGGAGTTGTAGTTGCTGGGATTTATAGTTCACCTACAATCAAAGAGCATTCTGAACTCTACCAGTGATGAAATTGAACCAAACCTGGCACGCACAATGCCCACAACCAAAATACAGGAATTGATTGGTGAGCATTGACCTTGAGTTTTGGAGTTGTAGTTCACCTACATCCAGAGAACAGTGTGGACTCAAACAATGACAGATCTGGGCCAAACTTGGCATGAGAACTCAATATGCCCAAATGTGAACACTGGTTGAATTTGGGGAAAATAGACCTTAACATTTGGGACTTTTAGTTGCTGGGATTTATGTTGTTGTTCATTCGTTCAGTCGTTTCCGACTCTTCGTGACCTCATGGACCAGCCCATGCCAGAGCTCCCTGTCGGCCGTCACCACCCCCAGCTCCTTCAAGGTCAGTCCAGTCACTTCAAGGATGCCATCCATCCATCTTGCCCTTGGTCGGCCCCTCTTCCTTTTGCCTTCCACTTTCCCCAGCATCATTGTCTTCTCTAGGCTTTGCTGTCTCCTCATGATGTGGCCAAAGGACTTCCACTTTGTCTCTAATCTCCTTCCCTCCAGTGAGCAGTCGGGCTTTACTTCCTGGAGGATGGACTGGTTGGATCTCCTCACAGTCCAAGGCACTCTCAGAACTTTCCTCCAACATCACAGCTCAAAAGCATCTCTCTTCCTTCACTCAGCCTTCCCTAAGGTCCAGCTCTCACATCCGTAGGTGACTACAGGGAAGACCATGGCTTTGACTAGGCAATGGATCTTTGTTGCCAGTCTGATGTCTCTACTCTTTACTATTTTATCGATACTGGACATTGCTCTCCTCCCAAGAAGGAAGCGTCTCCTGATTTCCTGGCCACAGTCTGCATCTGCAGTAATCTTTGCACCTAGAAATACAAAGTCTGTCACAGCCTCCACATTTTGTCCCTCTATTTTCCAGTTGTCAATCATTCTTGTTGCCATAATCTTGGTTTTTTTGATGTTTAGCTGCAACCCGGCTTTTGCGCTTTCTTCTTTCACCTTTCTTCTTAGAAGGCTCCTCAACTCCTCCTCGCTTTCAGCCATCAGAGTGGTGTCATCTGCATATCTGAGGTTGTTAATGTTTCTTCCAGCAATTTTCACCCCAGCTTTGCATTCCTCAAGCCCCGCACATCCTCGCATGATGTGTTCTGCATACAAGTTAAAAAGGTTGGGTGAGAGTATGCAGCCTTGCCGTACGCCTTTCCCAATCTTGAACCAGTCTGTTGTTCCGTGGTCAGTTCTGACTGTTGCTCCTTGGTCCTTGTACAGATTCCTCAGGAGGGAGGGAAGGGGGCTTGGGATGCCCATCCCACCAAGAACTTGCCACAATTTATTATGATCCACACAGTCAAAGGCTTTAGAATAGTCAATGAAGCAGAAATAGATGTTTTTTCTGAAACTCCCTGCCTTTCTCCATTATCCAGCGGATATTGGCAATCTGATCTCTCGTTCCTCTGCCTTTTCTAAACCCAGCTTGAACATCTGGCAACTCTCGCTCCATGTATTGCTGGAGTCTTCCTTGCAGGATCTTGAGCATTACCTTACTGGCATGAGAAATAAGGGCCACTGTACGGAAGTTTGAGCAGTCTTTCGCATTTCCCTTTTTTGGTATGGGGATATAAGTTGACTTTTTCCAGTCTGATGGCCATTCTTGTGTTTTCCATATTTGCTGGCAAATGGCATGCATCACCTTGACAGCATCATCTTTTAAGATTTCAAACAGTTCAGCTGGGATCCCGTCGTCTCCTGCTGCCTTGTTGTTAGCAATGCTTCTTAAGGCCCATTCAACCTCACTCCTCAGGATGTCTGGTTCTAATTCATTCACCACACCGTCAAAACTATCCTCGATATTATTTCCTTCCTATACAGATCTTCTGTATAGTCTCGCCACCTTCTCTTGATCTCTTCAGCTTCTGTTAGGTCCCTGCCATCTTTGTTTCTTATCATACCAATTTTTGCCTGAAATTTGCCTCCAATGTTTCTAATTTTCTGGAAGAAGTCTCTTGTCCTTCCTATTCTGTTATTCCTATTCCTATTCTATCACATCTGGGGCTAGTTGAACTTATCCTCTGCTCCTCCCCAGTAGCATTTTGGCCATCTTCCGACCTGGGAGTCCCATCTTCCAATGGCATACTGACATATCTCTGGTTGTACTGGTCCATTCAGTTTTCTTGGCAAGGATACTGGGGTGGTTTGCCATTGCCTTCCCCAGGGATCACGCTTGGTCTGAACTCTCTGCCACGACCGTCCCGTCTTGGGTGGCCCTTCACGGTTTCGCTCATGACATCATTGAGGTGCTCAAGCTCCAGCGCCACAACAAGGCGGTGATCCTTTGCTGGAGGACATGTGAGTAGACTCCAGTAATCACATGAATTGATTCCAACCTGCTACCGGTTTCGACTCACAAGAGACTTCGTCAGGCGGTTGGGTCTACAAATAACACATATCATGAATAACACAATTTGTTATAACAAGTTTGTAATAATTTATACAGACAATCTCAAATTATCAAAAACAAGCTCAACTTTTAAGTTGAGAAATTCACCAACAGTCTTCTGGTGGGGTGGATCCTAAGGGGACATAGATAGTGGCTAAAGGTACATTGTAACAAGAATTATAAACCATACATAGAGAAATATACAATCTGTGAAACAAAGATAATATAATACTCACAACTATTCTTTGTTGAGCAGTGCACTCTGCAAGGAGTTTTATTCTGTGGCGAGTGTAGGATCAAAATAACTCAACCCATTACTAATATAGCAAGTCCATTGGTCAGGCGATAGTGACAACATTATTAGTTCAGAATACAATCTATATATATAAAAATGCTCTGTGCATAATGAGTACCTTAAAAACAAAAGAACCAATGAATGAAATCACACCAAATCTGGCAACAA